CCTAGGCCAGGCCAGTTGTGTTCCAGAGAGGGTGAGGGGCTTCAGCAGGTACGCCTCTGCCTCACTGCAGAGCAACTCCACTTTGAGCGGTTTTGTTTATGTGGTGTCAGATAAGAGTTTGCAGGAAACAAATGTCCTCAAATGTCTGAGAGCCCCTGGACTAGATGACCTCTGGGATCCATCCAGCTCTAATGGTGTGATGTTTTTAGAATTGAATCACAGACTTGAGAGCTGAAATCATAGTGCGTAAGATTTCTCCTAAGTGCTGTGGGTGTTTTGCAGGCGGACAGTCCAGAAGACATGCACAGCTGGATTAAGGAGATCGGGGCAGCTGTCCAGGCCCTCAAGTGCCACCCCAGAGTAAGTCACTTCATTTCTGGTCATAGTCACTGTCAACTTAGAGATGAATTCTCTTTGAGTGGGCAGGTTTTATTTGGTGATGTAGGCAAGCAGTCGGGCCCTCGATGCAGCTGAAGTTGTCCTGTTTGTTTTCTCTTTCTACTAATTTAGGTACAAAGCTTTATTTTTTGTTTTGTTTTGGTTGGAAAGAGGTGACGGGTAGGGTTGGGTAAAGAAACAGAGTCTGCAATGTATTCTACACATCTCCCTGCCAGGCAGACCTTGACACATCTGGAGTGAGTCATGTTGGTCATACTTGATTTCTGTAGACAGGTGTCTCCGGACCTATGAGGTGGTGATCCTGGGTGGGTGTTCTTCCTGGGGCTTTGGGATAAACATGGTCAGGAAAGGCCTTATTTTCCTTTGGTTTTTTCTTCCCTGTTATTTTGTAGGATATGTCCTTTTCCAGATCCATCTCTTTGACTCGCTCTGGAAGCTCCAGCCACTCCGGGGGGCCCAACTCTTTCCTGTGCAGGGGGCGGCCACCTGTGGAAGAGAAAAAAGCTCTCTGCAAAGCCCCCTCGGTGGCTTCGTCCTGGCAACCCTGGACACCTGTTCCCCAGGCTGGGGACAAGCTGCTTCCCACTGAAGAGACTCCTGGGGACTCTTTGCTCATGTCTCGCCTTGGGGAGAGCAGTACTTCTGGGGTGTTGCCCAGCTCCCGGATAAGGCACAGGTCGGAGCCCCAACACCCCAAGGAGAAACCATTTCTGTTCAGCCTTGATGATGAGAGCATACGGACTTCTGATGTGTGATAGAGCACAGTGTCCTGGGAGGGGGGGAGGACTCAAGAAAAGGAGGCCATGACTCAGTTTCTCTACCTTTTGGAGGACAGTCAGAGACCCTTTGGCACTCATATTCCTGTGGATGCTCTGTGGGGGGGTGGGGGCCATCCAGCGGGCCTTTCGTTTTTGTTTTAAATACCAATACAGTGTATTTAACTTGGGAAGTCACTAGGTTAGACTTGTAGGCATGCACAGTGGAGAGCAGGTTGCCACCAATTTGACTACTCTGAGGTCTTCCTGGTGAGAGGAGGTTGGGAGTGCAATTTCATCCCTAAACCAAGTTTTATTTCCTTGTCTTAGTTTTAGTTTCTTGCTTTAGTTTCCAGGCCAAGCACAGAATCTTGGGCCAGTTATCTGGTTTATCCAATTCCTATTTATTGGCCAAGGTCTGACTATGAAGTCGGAAGGTAGTAAGTAACCCCAGCTGAAAGCAGAAGATCCAGGCTTTAGCTTGCCTGGGATACCTTCTGAGGGGAGGTGTTAAAATCTGGGGGCTGATGGGTAGCTCTCAGAATGTCTACTAGGATAGATCCTCCCAGGGGACTTCCACAGGGGAAGAAATAGGGATCTCTTGTAAGGTATGAGGAAAGATTCAACCTCAGCATATCAGCCACTTTTGGGAATTAATTCTGTTATTGTCTATGACCCCAAATAATGTTAACGTGATAGACCTGCCCACAGAGTTTGTGTGTCAGACCCTGAGGATGGGTTTATCAGTGTTATAAGTTACAATTGTAGACAACAGAGCAGACATTTCCATTGATATGGCATTATTTGGAAGTTTGCAGGGTTGTTAAGTGTATGATAATATCCAGTGTGATAGATCAGATCTCTGTTTCAGAATGTTAGAGTTGCATTAGAGCAGGTGCTGGGGAAAGATGGACTATAGTTCATCCAGATAAACTTTTCTGATCCATGCTTTCCAGACAGAAGAAAAGGTCTGTTTTAGCACAGAGTTCTTGAATTCTTACTTCATAGCTTTCTTCAGTGGGCTGGTATTAGTCTAATTTTAAGTGCTGTATATTATATACCCTGGCAGATTTGCTTTCTTTCTACTCTTTTTATTGCCCTTTGAATGAAGCCTTGTGTACTTGCATGATCAAACCTTGTAATCCGATAAGGTTCCATGTACTTAACAGTGAAGAGATACAAGGGTAATCTTGAGAGATATTTATATTTTTAATAAAATAAAAACTATGCACAGAAACATTAATGTAGAGGTTCTGCATTGCCAACTAGAGATTTCCCAGGTAGAAAAGCATCGATTGCATTTCCCGCCCAGATTTTTGGGTATACCTTCTTTCATTTGACAAGAAGATACTATTTCCAGGGTCCCTGGGAGAATTTGTCCAACTTACATAGTGACCTGCTAACCTATCAGGTTCCCTACAGGGAGAGAAAAACTAACTCATTTCTGTCTATGCCATTTATCAGCTAGATCAGTTAATTACCTTTAAATTAAAAACTAAAGACTATAGGAAGATACCGAGAGAAACATTTTTACCCAAGTAAATCCCTTCCCTTCTTATGTCCAGATCTAATGTCATCAGAAAGCCTTAGGGGCTTGAGGGTAATCTGTGTTCCTTTCAGGCACTGTAGTTCCCTTGAAGCCTATGTCATGTTGAGAACTTTTCTTGAGTGCACTGCATTGGAGCTATTATTCATTATTATTCATAATTTAATTATTTGGCCTAGTGGTCCTGGTATAAAAAAAGACATCTAGTACTGGATTTCTCTCTCTCTATCCTCTTTTTTTCAGATTCTTGTATACTTTTGTCCTCAGAAATCTATGGTTTAGGAGATAGTTATTTATGAGTGACCAAGGTTACAGCTTCAAGTAACCTGATACGTAGTCATTTCAGATTCTTAAGTCTCCTTGTCTCTGGTTTCATCCTCAGATTTTCCTCAAGAAAATTCTTCTGCTAGGTCAAAGAAAATACACAATAATTGATGTTGCACTAACAAAAATAAGTTAGGAACTTTTGAGATCCCTTTAAACATTCCCTAACTCATAAAGCTATCATCGTTTGGTGTTTAAACTGTGAAAATGTACCCATTTCTCTTTTGTTCAGTAAAATCTCTGCTAGAATACTATTGCTAAATTAATTGGCTATTGTAAAAAAGCTGATATGTTTCTTATTTCAGTAGGGCCTATTTTAAAAATGTGTCAAATTAAACATACTTATAAATCTAGATTCTACTATTATGATGGAGGGAAACAAAGACTCTAATTGGCAAATACTTGGGGAACATTGTTAACGTAGTTCCAACACCAGATAAATATAATTATCTTCAGTGAAGTCTATAAGCATTCTCATTCCCAAACCTTATTTCAGAATTCCTTTTGTGTCCATATTTCTTACCTTCTGGCCACTTTCACATCACAACTTTTTAATGTCACTACACACGTGAGTCAAAGATAGTGCATATATAGTCAAAGCATTTGGCTTTAAATGTGTATGGAACCAGATGGAAAAAAATAGAGCAGGGATGCAGTATAGGTTAGTAGTTAAGTGTGTAGGCTCTGGAATAAATCTGAGTTAAAAAAAAAAAAAAAGAACCAAAAAAGGTACTGCATTTTCTTTGTGTAATAAAAACCGCTGAGTTGTGCTGTTTTCATAAGACTTTTGAAGTGGTCTTGACCCAGTTTGTGTAACAGTATTACAGGTGGTCTTCCTATAATTGAACTATTTACCATCCCTGTTCTTGAGAGCTTAAGGATTTGCTTACTCAAGGTCACTTGGTGGTTGGTAAACATTGACCTTTTGCTTCCTGTGAGACATCATAAACCTACTAAGATGTAGAGTAGGTGCTGGCCAAAATAGTGGAGGTTATACATTTATTTCTGAGTAGAATGCTACACTCACTCACATGAGAAAGGGCAGAGGTAAGGTCTAGCTTTGTAGTCACTTGAAGCAAAAAGGGTTTTTTGTTTTTTGTCTTTTTTGTTTTTTTCTTCCTGAATATAACTGCTCTGCTACGGGCTAAAAGAACCTAACTTGAAGGTTCAGTAGTTGAGCGATGGAATTTGATGTTTGCTTTCACTGTTGACCAGTAACACCATTTTGGAAACTGAGCTTCCCAAATGAGCTTTAGTTTATAAACTCTGAACATGTCAAAAATGTTTAGTAAATCTTTTCTACCAACATCACTTTTTTTTCTTACTCCTTTTTTCTTAATGCTATCGCCTACAGCAGTCATACAGTCACTCATGCTAAGTAGAATTTGAATAAAGCTAACATTAGCATAAATATACTGTTTGACCTCTTCCCCTACTGCTTATTGAAGCTGTGGCATGATTTGGTGTTTTGAACCAGTATGTTTGAGCTGTGAAATGCACTCGCTGTAAGCCCTGAGCTGAGTGCATGGAAACTGTTACGCTTCTCATTTTATGTGACCTCCTAATTGGTATGTAGCAAAAATAGTTTTCTAAAACTGTTTTGTTGCTTGTTTTTGTAATAAAACCATGTGAAATACTGAAATATGGTGCGTGTTTTCCTAACGCTGACCTTCTGTTGGTGAGTGGGTGATCTCTCTTGTCAGTCTGCCCCATTACTGGTTTTCTGGACCTCTCCAAGTGGGTGCCTGCAAGGGAGGAGAGCTGGGGACCTCCCTTCATGGCAAGAGGGGGAGCTGGCGCTGGGGCGGGGTGGGGGGGACGGGTGGTGTGTGTGGTGCGTGTGTGTAGAGGTCGGCCAGGCTCTGCCCCTTAAAGCCCGGGGGCTGATGGAGGCGGCATCCCACCGGGAGAGGGAGGCTCTTTTTGGAGCCGTGGCGGGTCGAAGGAACTGGAGAGCCTGGAAGAAAGGGAGCAGGATGACCAGACCGCCGCCGCCGGCTGCGCTGGGGCCACTTCTCCTGCTGTGGCTGCTGCCGGCCTCGCTGCCCGTGCCCGGGGTCGAGGCTAGCAGGCCGAGGCCCCCGCTGCGCTGTCCCGCGGCCTGCGAGCCCACGCGCTGCCCGCCGCTGCCCGCCTGCTCCGCGGGGTCGTCGCCGGTGCTCGACGGCTGCCGCTGCTGCCGCGTGTGCGCGGCGGCCGAGGGCGAGGCGTGCGGCGGGGCCGCGGGCCGGCCGTGCGCTCCGGGGCTGCAGTGCGGCGCGCGGCTCGGCGCCCGGCGTCTCCGCGGCGCCCCGGGGGGCACGTGCGGCTGCCCGGCGGCGGGGGCGGCGGTGTGCGGCAGCGACGGGCGCACCTACCCCAGCCTGTGCGAGCTGCGCGCCCAGAACCGCGCGGCGCGTCTCCGAGGCGCGCTCCCGGCCGTGCCGGTGCTGAAGGGCGACTGCGCCGGGCGAGGTGAGCGCCGCCCGCGGCTCGGGGTGCTCGCAGCTCCCGCCGGCGCCTTTGCCTCCGGAGTCGACTACGCGTTCCCAGTTTTCTCTCCTTCTTAGGTGTCGCCTTACCAGTTCCTGCGTGGTTTCTCCCCGCTTGCCTCCCCGGGCCTGTTAAATACCATCTCCCCCCCCCGCCCCCCCCTTTTTTTTCTCTTACCCACCCGGGATAACAGGTGTGGTTCCCTCAAGGCGCATCCTTCCCAGTTAAGAGGTCCTCAGCTCTTAGCTCTCTGCAGCGAATAGAGAGGGAGCCCGACGGGAGGAGCGGGAGGGAAAGGGGGGAGGAGTTGGAGAGAGACCGGGAGAGCTTGCAGAGGACGCCCGGCGCACTCAGGCCCCCGGGAACCAAGCATTTCTTCCCAGGGGCCTGGAGTGTCGGCCGGCTCCGGAGCCAGTACAACTTCCTCGCGGCGGTGGTGGAGAAGGTGGCGCCCTCAGTGGTGCACTTGCAGCTGTTCCGCAGGTAAGGGAGGCAGGAGGAGGCCGCCCGCCGGCCTCCCCGCGGCACCCCGCTCCAGGGCCCCCACCCCCGCGGCGCAGGCGTCGCTGAGCCCTAACGCCCGCTGCGAGGAAATCGCGGCCCTAACAGGTTGGCTAATCCGTTCGCGGTGGTTTAGCCAGAGAGCGGAAGCGTAGGAATTGCGACCTCCAGATCCGGGCTACTCCTCTGCACTTAGGAGCGTGGGGTTTCTCTCTCCCTCAACCCCCACGACATAACTGAAGGTCAGATGTAGGAGCTAGAAGGCACCCCCATGGTGATCTTGCTCGGGGGCCCCTCGTTTTCATGGAAGGAAATCCGATGTCACGAGGCCACTTGGTGGTGGAACCTAAGCGGGAACCAGCCTTCTACTTCCTACCTGCCTGGGTCCTCAATAATGTAGCACTGGGTGCACGTTTGCTCTCGGGAGTGTGATTAGGGTAGGCCTCTCTGAAGCAGAGGGGTGCTGCTCTGACCAGCACTGGAGAAGGAGGCGAGTGGGGGTTGTCCCTGGAAAAGGAAAGTTGGCATCAGCTCTCTGTTCTGCTTCTAAGAGGTGGCCAGGGCACTGAACATGAGGAGTCTAAGTACTCGTGCAGAGAATGAAAACACAGACAGGGGGCACCTGGGTGGCTCAGTGGTTGAGCCTCTGCTTTTGGCTCAGGGTGTGATCCCAGGGTCCTGGTGTGGAGTTCCCCATAGGGAGCCTGCTTCTCCCTCTGCCTATGTCTCTGTGCCTCTCATGAATAAATAAAATCTTAAAAAAAAAAAAAGTAAAAAAACACAGACGGGATAGTAAAATGTCTGAGAAAACTGTGGTGGAGGTGTGTTTGATCAATGAGAGGTTCCCATGTCCCCAGACTGTGATGGATCCCCTGATTTTCCTGCCTTCTGCTTATGCTGTTGTCTTGTGGGGACAGGTCACCTCTTAGCAGCAAGGATATGCCTGCATCCAGCGGCTCTGGGTTCATAGTGTCTGAGGATGGGCTCATTGTTACCAACGCCCACGTAATCACCAACCAGCAGCGGATCCAGGTGGAGCTCCAGAGTGGGGTCCAGTATGAAGCCACTATCAAGGACATTGACCATAAATTGGATCTTGCACTGATTAAGATTGAGCCAAATGTGAGTGTGCAAGGGCCAAATCAGTCTGTACATTTGGAGATTTTCATCAGTTTGCTGCCATTTCCCTCACTGCCCCATTCCCACATCTTTTTTTTTTTTTTTAAACCTGGTATATGTTCTTTGCTAAATTTCCTTTTTCCCTATTTTCCACTCTTATTTTCTTTTATGCCTGTTTGTATGTCCCTAACAATTTCTATTAACTATCCAGCCTCCTTTACCTCCTCCTTCAACAGCTGCTGCTGCTGGGAAACCTCTCTCTGCTTGCCTTAGAATACTAGGACTGATTACAATGGATTCAAGGATGCTAAGGAATACTTTGAGGTCCTTGCTGCACAGTGTGGTCTGCACAACAGCAGCATTGACATTATCTGAGAACTCTTAAAAAATGTACAATCTAAGATCCCACCCTGGTCTACTGAGTCAGAATCTGCATTTTAATAAGATCCCTGACTGATTCATGCGCACATTAAAGTTTGAGAAGCACTGCTCTGGGCCATCTCCTTTCTGTTTGTGGTTTGGTTTTGACTATAGAATTCTGAGCTGGTATAGTGCTAAGTGAGTTGCTAATATCAGTGGTATGTTCACCAGCTACTTCACTGCTGGCTTAGTTATAGGAATTTCTACAAAGCAATAATATTAGACTTTAGAGATGATCCTGATCATCTTACGGAGTGACAGTTGGTGGTTGCTGGGATTTGAGGAAGAAGCATTAGGGACTTGTAGAACCTAGGTGAGTGGGTGGGTGATTCTTGCATTGGCAGTGCCCAAATGATAGAGACTGTGTCAGATGTGGGTTGTACGCAAATACTGGTTGATTCTCTTCTTGATTTATTCTTCACCTCTCTACCCTTCCCACCCCTCCTGGCTGCGTGCAGGGTGACCTTCCTGTATTGCTGCTGGGAAGGTCATCCGACCTGCAGGCTGGAGAGTTCGTGGTGGCCTTGGGCAGCCCATTTTCTCTGCAGAACACAGTGACTGCAGGAATCGTCAGCACTACACAGCGAGGGGGCAGAGAGCTGGGGCTGAAGGATTCAGACATGGACTATATCCAGACTGATGCCATAATTAATGTAAGTCACTTGGGAGGGCCATCCTCAGCTGATAAGGTAGGGCAGGACAGGGAGAAGAGCGTGTCAGAATGCCCTCATGTCCCTTTGGTCTTTTGGGGCTGTGCAAAGTCCAGTTGGATTCTCACGGGAGGGATGGAATGCCATGTTGTTAGAGTCTAGCCGGTTTGATGTGATCATCGGCATCCATGATATTGGGTTGTCTCTTAGGGTCTGTCCTAGAGGCCACCCCTACTGTAGAAGGTGATGGTCCTCTTGCTGTTGTCCTTTACCTGCACTGACTTTCCTGTTGGTGATGACAGTGGGCATGGCTTTGCTTGCCTGGGAGGAACAGGGGCTCACCAGAGCAGGGTGCTGTTGGTAAGCCTCTTTAGGGACTCTGTATAAATGCCAAGGAGAAAAGCAGCACTGATGACTTTTTCAAAATCTGTCTTCAGCACGGCAATTCTGGGGGCCCCCTGGTGAACTTGGTAAGTGGCTACTTTCCTTGCTGCTTCTTGTCTCTTCCGAACTTTCAAAGACTTTACATATTCCATGATGCAGACCAGAGATCTGTGGATAGGACGCTTTCTATTATTGCACCTTAAGTAAATGGTTAGCAAAACTTTAAGGTCGTTGGTAGATTTATCATCACTTGTCACATGGCATGTGATTTCACCCAAGTGACGGTGCCAGGGTTCACTTCTGCTTATTGACATCTCTTCAACATGCTTTCTGTTTTCATCGTGCAGTTAACAAAAGTTAACTAAACTGTATGTCAGATGTCCAACTGTACTATGAAATGTCGATCCTTGAGGACTCCCTGCTGCTACATATGAAGATCTGTCCCTCATTCCAGAATGCCAACTACATGACGTGGTCTGTTGAGGTTATTATACCTGAGATAGAAAAGCCACAGTGGGAACCCATTACACTGTCTTTTATTTAATTTGTAAAGTTTTATTCAGCATCTCTAGTGGAAATGCAAGCATTTCTAGTTGCTCAAATACACTGAAAACAGAGAGTGCAGTGCTATTTGATATACAGTCTGTGATCATGCTGAGGCCCTTTGGGCTGTTTTTGGTTCCTTACAAATTATACTTGCTCTTTGGAGGATGAATCGTTATGTGAAATTACTGAGCCCTCCTTAACTCATAGCAACGTGGGTAATTTTTTTGTGCCTGCTTTCTCCAGTAGACAACGAGTTTACTAGAGCAGGGGTGACGTGCAGACCATCAGACCACACTCCAGACCTACTGAGTTATGATACGTGTTGTAATATGACCGGAAGTCTCCTTTCTACCCTTCCCATGACCCAATGAAGGCTAAAGGATGATGAGGTGCACGAAGATGAAAGTGGTTCCCACTTCATAGCTTTGGCCTCATAAAGCTTTGTTCTCAGAGGTCAATCAGCTAATTCTGAAATTTCACTGAAGTGTTGTTGCAAATCCAACAGCGTCTTCTCTTTTCCATATTTATTTTTAGTTTCATAAATAGTCCTTGTCCCCTTCATGGTGTCAACATACAAACTGTGGCTCACTTTTAAAATCATTTGGTGAAGGAGAAAATGAACTCAAGCTTAAAAAAAATTTCCTCAGAGGCACCTGGGTGGCTCAGGGTGTGATCCCGGAGTCCTGGGACTGAGTCCCGCATCTGGCTCCTGGCACGGAGCCTGCTTCTCCCTCTGCCTGTGTCTCTGCCTCTCTCTCTGTGTCTCACATGGAAAAATAAATAAAATCTTAAAAGACAACAACAACACCTTCCCTCAGTGGCGATTTGCACAGGGCAGGGCCCCCCGGGCCCCCTGTCCTCCTACACGCCCCCCCCCCCACCCCAGCCTGCTTCTCCTCTAGCCCCTCTGTGCTCTGGACCTCCCTGATTAGCCTCACTCTCTCTTCTGCTGGTCCTGGTTTTGCATTGGCCACTTTGCACAACTTGGCGACCCAGTGAGGTCTCCTCCCTTGCCAGGATGGTGACGTAATTGGCATAAATACACTGAAGGTGACAGCGGGAATCTCCTTTGCCATTCCCTCTGATCGAATTCGACAGTTTCTGGCAGAATTCCACGAGCGGCAGTTGAAAGGTAACGGGGGTGGGGGGTTTCTCCCCCTCCTGCTTTTCAGGAATACTTGGGCTATTGTGGAGATCGCCATGGGGTTCTGTGGACTAGGGGTCCCTGGTACGCAGCTCTTAGCATGGTGGTTCGGGTGGCAATATGGGTAACTAGGCACAAAACCAGGCATGTGTCCTGCCCAGAAATAGGTGAGTTATGGCAGAAAGGAAACCCATGGGCTGGAGATGAGAGGTGGATGGCAGCAGTGTCGGTGCTAGTGACTAAAGGTTCCCTGAAGCGTGTTTTCATTGCTGACAGCCTGAAAGGGCAGCTACAATTATAGTACGGATATTCTGTGACTTGCTGTCTTTTTAGGCTCTGCCAAAAGGAAAGTCGTTTTGTTGTTAGTAACACCCTATAACTTTCCTTTCCAGGAAAGGCTCTTTCACAGAAGAAGTATCTTGGTCTGCGGATGCTGCCTCTCACTATGAAGTAAGCAGGGGTTTCAGTATGTCTGGGTTGTTTTTCAGAAGCAAAGGGCACACATGGACACTCTTAACAGGGAATCTAAAGCATGTGGACCACAGTTAGCTACTCTTGGGAGAGTAGGCCCCGTTATCACAGGGTAGGTATCTGCCTCTGCCTGCACCAATATTTGACACTATGTTTCAGTAGCTTCTTTCACTATGGCTATACCTGATAATGTCCAATGATTTGGGGCTTTGGTAGAGAACCGGGCCACCCCCAGGTTAGAATAACTGTGACCAGCTTGATGGAATCCTCCCTGGCTGCCTGAAGCCTTGAGTAGAACATATGAGAGTACCTGTTGAATTGGAGGCTTTGACTGGGGCTCAGGTGGTGAATTCATTGTTTCTTAATCTTCTGGGAAACCCTTTCTCACTTTTCTTAGCCTTCTTCAAGAGATGAAAAGGCAAGATCCAGATTTTCCTGATGTGAGTTCTGGGGTTTTTGTGTATGAGGTGATTCAAGGAACGGCTGCTGAAAGGTAAGAGCTCAGGCCTTGGCCCAGCTAGGGCACCATGTAAATATGTGGATTGAGATGTGCACTGTGAGTACAGTGGCTCAGCCCACACATGGCTGTTAACACTGAGATGTGGCTGGTGTGACTGAGGAAGTGAATCTTGTCTAATTTTAATTTATGTAAATTAAAAAACCCCCAGAGGCAATCAATATAAAAGATTTTTCCATTAAACATACCTTTTGTTTTGGAAGGACTGCCTTTAACTTTAATTACTGCATTGTTTAAGATGTTATATAGTAGCACAACAGTTGTATGTTGTTTCTAGTGGATTTCAAAGACATCTATGAAACAGTCGAAAGTACCTATTAATAATTAAAAAAATTATTCGTTAAAGTGATAATACCTATATTGTGTTAAATAAGTATATTATTAAAATGAGTTTCATCTATTTTGAAAGAAATTTTTTTTAAGATATTTATTTATGAGAGACACAGAAAAAGAGGCAGAGACACAGGCAGAGGGACAAGTAGGCTCCCTGTAGGGAGCCCGATGTGGAACTCAATCCCAGGACCCCAGGTACATGCCCTGAGCCAAAGGCAGATATTCAACTACTGAACCACTCAGGTGTCCCTATTTTTTTTTTTAATTTATTTATTTATAATAGTCACAGAGAGAGAGAGAGAGAGAGAGAGGCAGAGACACAGGCAGAGGGAGAAGCAGGCTCCATGCACCGTGAGCCCGATATGGGATTCGATCCCGGGTCTCCAGGATCGCGCCCTGAGCCAAAGGCAGGCGCCAAACCGCTGCGCCACCCAGGGATCCCCTCAGGTGTCCCTATTTTTAAAGAGATTTCTAAAATTAAGGAAGTTTTTAAAAATGTGACTACCAGAAAATTTAAAATGACATATGTGGCCTGTCTTACATTTCTATTGGACAGTGCTGATTTAGATTTGTGTACCTGTGTCTGGAAGGACTTTTTTGGGGAAGGGGATGATTCTTTTTTCTTGTAGCCCAAGCATTCATGATGAGTTAATAGCATAAGTTTAAACTAATTTTGCTAGCAATTCTTGAATCTACTTTCGATACCTTAGTTATTAAGAATAGGAAAGATTCGGGAGGGCTAAAAGTTTAAAAACATATTTTAGGTACTTTAAGACACTTTTTTCTTGAACTCTGGAAGACTATATCAGATGCCAGCACTGAATGAATGAATGTTAATAAAGCAAAGGATAGAACAGCTCATCAGAGAAGTGCTCCAGCTGATTTTACTCATTTTTAAACTTTTATACTTACTGAGGGAAGAGGTGGCTTGTCCTACAATTATTCTCCTGGATCTCTCTCTTATACTTCTTCAGTATACCTCTCTCACTGCTTTTGTTTCTTGAGAGCTCTTTTTATATTATGGCAACTTTTTTAGTAGGGGGAAGAAACCATGGGGTACTAAAAGTTAATAGCTAAGGGCTAGGTCTCATGTTACTAAATTTGGCGTGTCATAGGCTTTTCTAGACTTTCTTGCTTCCTGCCCTTCCCCTACCCCTTTATTTTTATCTTTTGGTTCAAGGCCAAAGCTATTTCTTTCAGTTCTCCTAGTCCTTGCTGCTCAAAGTGTGGTCTGTAGACTAGCAGCATTGGCTTCACCTGGAGCTTTAGAAATGCAGAATGAAGGGTGCCTGGGTGGCTCAGTTGGTTGAGACTGGACTCTCGATTTAGGCTCAGGTCATGGCCATGGGGTTGTGAGATTGAACCCCGAGTCGGGGTCTGCGTTGAGGATGAAGTCTGCTTCTTTCTCTCTCTCTCTCTCTCTCTCTCTTGGTCTCTCTCTCTCTCGCTCTCTCTCCCCTCTCATGTGGCTGTGCTCTCTAAAATAAGCAAATCTTAAAAAAAAAAAAAAAAAAGAAATGCAGAATGACAGGCCCCAGCACTAAATCAGAATCTGTTTTAAACAAGATCTCCAGGTGATTTGTATAAACATTAAAGTGTGGGACTACTGCTTGCTTGAAGTCACTGATAAACCAGAAATCTATAATTTCTGGCTTCACCCAGTTATATCTATCTATCTATCTATCTAATTGTTATTTATCTAATAACAATAATTACAGTAATAACAGCCAGCACTTATTAACCTCTTACTATGTCAGGCATCACTTTAAGTGTTTTACATACTTTTTGAACCCCCAATAGTCTATGATATAGGCATTATTTTACAGAAACAGCAGCTATGGTACAGAGAGGTAGTTCACTTGAGAGGTACATATAAGTCAAGAGCAGGGACGTGGAATCTGGCTTAACTCTCGGATTGTCCTGTTTTGTAGCTGCTTCTCTTGTTTCTAAGAGGCAGAGCGAGTGGCAGGAAGATGGGTTTTCAAGTCTGAAAGACCCAAGGTCAAACTCTACTTTAAGTCCCTTCCAAACTGTAGCACATGGGATAGGTTATTTATTATGGCTGAGCCTCATACCCCCATTTTGGTGCATAGTATACACTCAGCAATAACTGGCAGGTTTCTCTTTTTCTACCTATAGAACTACAGTGGATTAAATTTCTTGTTTGTGCACTGTCCCAGTCATCCTCCTGAGCTGTCCTTGTGCTAAAGGTTTTCCAGGCTTTTAGCTTTGCCCACAAACTTCTCTTCACATCCTCTGGCTTTAAATTTGTATTAAAAAAAAATTTAACTCCACATATCTTGGTAATCCTCCCATATCCTTCCTTTGGTTCCACATTTCTTTAAAATGATGTCTCCTGGAATCATTTAATTTGATGTCTCTCTTCCAGCTTACTATTGACCTAAAGTTTCTAGAATATATATTCTGTGTGAAGCAAATATATTGGAGACAAAATATAATCACGACTTTGGGGAAAAGCAGCCTAGAACCAGAGTCTTAAATATTTAGACTTGGAAGGGTGACTGGTTTTTGACTTCCTGGAAGCAGAGCAGTCATACAGCTCAACAGACTCTTCACTTCCATAACTTGTAGGTGGAGATGGGGCAAGTGAGTGAGCTCTCAAAACCAAACTGTATGGGGGAAAAGTTTATTGCTTGTGTTCTTCTTCATCTTTGCTGGTAAGACCAGAAGTATGTTTGAGGTTTACAGATAAAAAAATAAAAGCAAAATTCCCTATTCCAAACCAAATCCAATAATATGGGAGGAATAAACTTTTTACATGATTCTATTAGAAGACTGAATTTATAAAGGTAAATAGGATTGTTGTCCCTAGGTGGTTTCCTAGCATATCTTACAAGAGTCCTCATATTTGAAAGGATTGGGTTATTTCTGGTTTCCTGTTTGTATGTTTAATGATAGCAAAATAGGGGTGCCCCAGTGACTCAGTCGGTTAAGCCTCTTCCTTTGGCTCAGGTCCTGATCACAGGGTCCTGGGATCAAGCCCCACATCAGGCTCCCTGCTCTGCGGGGAGTCTGCTTTTCCCTCTGCTCCCTCCCCTGCTTGTGCACACACTCTCTCATAAAATCTTAAAAAAAAAAATGACAGCAACATAGTGTCGTAGGAGACAGACATTAAATTCTAGATGGGAACAAATAAAACGTATAATTTCATGGTCTTTTTTCCCCTCTCCCAGCTCTGGGTTGAGAGACCACGATGTAATTGTCAGCATAAATGGGCAACCTGTTACCACTACAACTGATGTTATTGAAGCTGTGAAGGACAGTGATTCCCTTTCCATTATGGTTCGTCGAGGAAGTCAAACTTTGATCCTGACAGTCACACCTGAAATAATCAATTAATTATCTTGCTTTAAAGAGAAATCATCTAACAAAATCAAAGCTATATTACCTGGTTTGTATTGAAGATGTGCCAAAGATGGCAAGTTTTAGGGTCTCTTTCTTAAGAAAAATGAATGTTTTAAAATACACATGCGCGCACACACACACACACAGGGACTGTTAGATTGGGGTGCTCTACTGTTGCTAAGAAGCCTCACTAAAGCAAGCGAAGGACATGGTGCCAGGAAGTCTGGGAAGCTGATAACATTTTACTTAAACACAGGAAACAACTGAAAAAACAGTCAGTTTCTAATTTAACCTTGACAGGACACTTGTGGATTTTAAAATTTCTCTATAGCCACAAACTGGATGTAACACCAACGTACACATCCACATACACACATGCGCACGAGTGAACAGACCTACTGAATATGAAGAGACAACCTGAATCCAGAGTGCAAAGGAAATAGAATTTTTAATAATACTACCTTTCTCCATCAGTTTTTCAGGTGGTACCACATTTGGCCAGGGTTTGTAGGTGCAGAGGATGAGCATCATTTCTTTTCTTTTTTTTTTTTTGATGAGCATCATTTCTAAGTCAAATTCAAATTGACTACTGTGGACTGTCACTGAGGAATACTAGATTCTAATGATCACCCTGCCTGTGGTCTCAGAGCTTTCTGTGAGAGGGCTTCTTTTATAGGACAAATCCTTCAATAACTTATAGACTTTGACCTTTTTACCCATCCGTATCCTCCTGGCAACATTAGTGATTTTGAATGTGAAAGCTGCCAAAGCGTTGGTGTTTTTAAAGAAAATTGTTTTTGATGGGGCTTGTGAATATCCTGAAGGAGATTTTTTTCCAAAGTGTGGGATGAACCAGGATTTGTGGCTTAGCGTAGTACCTTATTTTTGGTAACATTTTAATTTGTTTTCCAGATTTCTCTTACAAGTTAGTTTTTTTTTTTTTTTTTAATATGGCATCTCCTTAAATTCTATGCAAAATTTTAAGTGTATTTTTTTTTCCTGGGGATAGGATCCAGTTTCTTCACGACCTACAACAATTTTAATTATTACTGTTACAAACAAGATTATGGTCAATGTAGGACAGAATTCTCAAGGCAGAATAATGTTTTAATTTTTACACAATCGCCAACCATTTGATAATATAAACACAGTGATCCTATTAATCAGGGATGATAAAGCTGAAACATTTAGAAAAGCTGCTTCATAAGGATAGAAAGTATCTGGTGTTATTTTAACCGATTCTTGGTCCTTAAGTAATCTATTATGATTGGTTTTAGGATTTATCCTGAATATCGGGCTTTTAGTTCTACTTGTCTGAAAAGTCCTCCTTTTACTTCATATTTAAAAGTTCTTTTCAACTTAAATTGCAAAGGATGGGAACTAAGTTTTTAAACCACTTATAATTAAGGATATTTCCTTTTATTCCCAGTGACTTGGGAATGCAAAAGCTTGGCTGTCTCTTTTTCGCAACTGCTGACTACTGTTGCCCACAGTGAGAGCTTCCAGTACCATGCTTATTTTGATGGAATGTGTTATGTTTGCCCCCATAAATTACATCTTAACTCTACCCATTGCTAATTCTGTCCTTTAAGTAAGAATCTTTTTTCCTCCCAAAGCTGTGAGGCTTTTCACCTTATCTTACGTAATTGTGGAGAATTTTAGTTTTAGTTTTACAGTTAGTTGTAGGAGATCTTTCTTACCAGCCTATAACATAGACTCTCTAAACTAGTAGAACTAATTTTCAGATAGGATAGCCAAGAGGATAGCTAAACCCAGACATATCTGATTATTGTTGGGCTTTCAAAATATAATTGAAATTAATATATACTGCCCCTGGAGCATAATGATGTAACAATAGGGTTTATTAATAGAGTGGCTCATTTCAAATGCCCAGCTTTTGGCAAAACAAACAATTTTGAGGTCATTCTACCTACTGAAAATACCAAACAGCACTCCAGGTTGGGAGAATTTATTCTGCAACTTGAATTCAGAAAGTCAGAATTTCAATGTGTATTAAAATCCATGACCATTTTACTTCTGCTGAAGATTTTCATTGGTTCAGCTTCATATCTCCTCTGCAGGAAGATTTAAGGTCACAAAAGGCACAAGGCTAAAAATATTCACCGTGTTCATCTTGTTGGGTTTACTTGCTCTAAAGTATTGAAGATACAGCAATGTACAGAAATACAGTATGGAAACCCCTCTACAACTTGTAAGTTAGCCATTAGCCTTTATATTTTTTATGTAAGGAAAGGTACATACTTGATTCCCAAACACTGTTTGCTTGTCATTTCTAGTCTGCAAGGTGAAATTTGGGTTGTAAACCCAGAGTCCACAGAAACCTTCCTTACCAAACCCATTCCCTCCAAAGAGGGAAAGTAATGGCCAGGTCTGATATCAAGGAAGAGTTTTGAGCCTGTAGAGATGAATTCAGAAGACATGTCTCTCTGGACCTTGACAACAGCTGTTCTTAGTAAACAGTGCACCAATTGCTGCCATCACTTGGCATCAGCCCTCCAGTAATAAGCAAAATAAGGTCGACAAACCACCAAATCCCAAGTCCTCCAAGTGTCAACAGCTTCCCTACTGCTGTGCCAGTGTGTCCGAGACAGAAACGGTCCACTCCAAAACATCCCAGGAAGAAAGAGTAGAGTAAAGTGGTTATGAAGTAGTGTCCTGTATATCTAGACAGAAGGAACGAAAAGGAAGATGTTTACCACATGAAAATTAAAACACTTAATGATTAGTGAATTTAACATAAGCGAAAAGATGGTGTAGCAGTTCCTCTCTGGCCTCTTCTCCTCCCCATAAAGAAAATCTCTAATTGGTCTCACAAGAGTACGACCCAGGACAGAGAGGAACAAATACTGAGTTGGATCAGACAAGAAATAATCAAGCACATTTGCTCTGTAGGCATCCTGGGAAGAGTAGAGTCTGGGCCCCCATGTTTCTCTCACACAGGCTCCTTTCCTGAGGCTGCACTTCTGAATGCAGTTCTTTAAAGAAATGTCATCTTTCCTCACATGAACACTAATTTCCATTTACTCTTCTATTGCTTTGTGGCAACTAAACACGAGGTTTCTTCAATAAGGATTTGAGTCTTGCATTTGCAATTGCTCTAATATTGTCACTAAACACCACAGGCTCCATTAGCAAATGATATGAATATATTCTGTGTCTTCAAGAAAAATTTACAGAAATGACCCTAATTCTTTTAAAGATAAACTTATTTTCCAGGGGAGAGACCCACACTTTTCATAATAAAACTTTTATTCTTCAAATATTAAGGCTATTTTCACAGGATTTATGCCTATCATAGGAATTTTGGAGCTAGATCATCTGGTCCAACCACCTTTATTCTGTAGGTGAGGGACAGTTTCTGGGCTTCCAAAGCACCTTGCTAGTTGATGAATTGAGACATTTAGAACTTATGGCTGCTGGTCTCTTAAGTCCAGTGTCCTGTTTATAACCACATTGCCCTTGTCCATGGATTATGCACAGTAATAATGTTGCCCCTTTAACACTTAAGATAAAAGTCACATCAAGAGATGACAAAGAAAAGAGCTCTACCTCTAACCAAGTACCGCCTACCCCATTCAAAGTAACACTTACTTTATACAAGGTTTATTCTCTCGTAGGAAGGTCCTAGGACTGGCACACTCAATCCCATCTAGGGCCCGGCATTGGACTGAAGTGTGTTCCACATCACCGTAGGCCTGCCCACCAAACTGTGGCATGACAACCAAAACAAAACAAACAACCTAAACTCACCAAAGCAAGTTATGCAAGATATATCTTTCTATTCACTAATTAAAGGTGACTCAGGATGATAACTGTACTAACAAAGTTGGGTTAAGCTGTGTTCAAGAGCAAGGAATTTAGTGATTCAAGGGATTTTAAATTATTCCACTCTATTTGTACATTGTTTTAAATAAACTGATTTTTCTTCTTTATGACTAGCTTCTCCAATATAATAAAAAATTTATCATCAGTTTCATTAAATACCATTTAGAGTAGATGAACACAATGCTTTAATTATATTTACAGGAAAGAGAACACATTACTGAGCATTTGGGAATGGTCAATGTGGATTAGAGGTCTGTTTTATATATATTATAAATGAACATAATTAGGTAAGAACTTGAATATCATCTGAATCAGAACTTTTTTTTTTTTTTGGTTGTGAATGTGTGATTATCAGATATCTATATTACATTTTTGTAGAAGCTTAAATTTCAGCAAAAAATTTCAGAACAGGACCTCTTAACCATTTATGTAACTGAATTCTGGCAGAGAAAGCACAGCTGTACATTCTCCACGGGCACTTTATTAAGTACTTCACTATTATTTTGACTGGTGCATTCCTCAAAGGGAAGGGAGTCGGAAATCATACCTCCCCTGGGATTCAGTGCCTTTATACTGGTCCTCTAGGACTTGTGGGGAAAGTGGCAGTTTGAATGCCCTGACAGGATCAACTCAGTTTTTAATTAAAATGGGCAAAAGTAGGGGCACCTGGGTGGCTCATTCAGTTGAGCATCTGACTTGATTTCAGCTTAGATTGTGGTCTTGGGGTTGTGGAATCAAGTTCTACCTCCAGGCTCTGCACTTAGTGGGAAGTCTGCTTGATATTCTCTCTCTCCCTCTGACCCCCCTCCTCACCCTCACCCCCCACTGGCTTGCTGTCTCTCAAATAATCTTAAAAAAAAATAAAGTGGGAAAAACTAAGTGATCTCTATACAGTACTTAACTTTAACCTTCAAAACCTTCATTGATAATTATCAATAGAACAAAATCTCATTGTATTGAAAACATTTCTTTATACACGATTATACTAAAAGTTGCCTTTTTGGTCTTATTACTTTCAGGTTTATTCCTCTGTCTCTGATTTAGTACAAACAATATTTTCCCATAAGTCTCTTATATCTGATTGAATCTTGACTTGCATTGTGCAGCACGAGCAGGAGGTATATGAACTTCACTGGTTGTGGGGAGACTAACTAGGATGTTATTAATGGAACTGAATTGAATGGCTTTTCTCCATTCCAAGAGGCCATTGTTACCAAAGGCTTCTCCTTGAATATTATAATCTCCTACAAAGGCATATAGTGAAAGACTCCCATCTGTTTCCTAAGGATACGGTGGAAACTGCTTGCCTCAT